GCCACCATCAATCGATGTCAACTTTGGCATTACTGACTCTTATCTTGCTGAGCTGAAGAATCCTTTTTGGAATGACAGTCACGACCTCAGGTGTTATAGGTGTCGGTGGATTCAGCTCGTGTGGTTGTGTAATACTCCTTTCCTTTGGTATGTTTATATATATACATATATATATCATATATATATGAATACACGCGACTTAGCTCTCATTGGTTGTCTTTCCCAAGTATATACTTTTATTTTACGGATTGTTATACTTGTTCACGTCATTCACGAACTATTAGGAGAGGTATATGTAACTTTTGATCTGAAAATAATATGTGTAGTTAAGTTTTTCTTTCATCTTTTTATGTGCATTGTTGTTTTATCAAGAGACCATTCAGCGTCCAGAGATAGAGATATCAGGTCTTCTCACAATTAAGCTGATGAACATTCGCGGGGTAGTGAGAGACCACACAATAGGAGGGAAAAAAAAGATAAAGGAAAGGAAGTGAGAAAGAAAGAACAGAAAAAAGACAACGAAAATGCACACAAACCAACCAAAAAAACAAAAACAAAAACAAAAAAACACATAAAAACAACAACAAAACACGCAATCTTCGCCTCTGTTGTCATGCGAATAGGCAAACAAATGAATGGCATCTGGACTGCATGACTTCCTGTTTCCTTTAGAATAGAGTAAATAGACATACTCCTCTCTCAGTGTATTCTGAACCACGAGACTGAGAGGTGTCGCTGACAGAAACCCCTTATGGATAGCAGACAGCAGGAAGACGTAGGAGGAGGAGGAGGAGGAGGAGGAGGACAGAGGAGTGACATAGAGGAAGAAATCGAAGCATTGGCTACCTCGCTTCTGCAACTTCAAGAAAATAGCGACGTGTTTTTTCTCCTCGTGATGGGAATGATCGTTTTCTGTGAGTATCTTTCCCGTTTCTTTCTCGTTTCTCGATTTGGCTTATAATCATTATCCCTTATTTTTTAGTATTTCGTGATTCTTCTCTTTTTTCCCATATTTTCTTCCTTATTCTCTTCCTCTTTCTGTTATAACAATTTATTCTCACTTTATTCGTTATCAAATTCGCACGATCTAATTCCTTTAATATTTTTTTACCACCACATACATTAACGAAACTTTATTACATGAATTTCTCAAATAGATTGTCGTTTGCTACAGTTATGCAGTGCGGATTTGCCTTTTTGGAAGCTGGTGCTGTGAGATCCAAAAACACGATTAATATCCTTGTTAAGAATATGCTGGACGTCTGTGAGTAAATTATAGATTTTCTTTTCTGAAATGTTTTAGAAAGGAAAAGAGTTCACTTCTGTTTGTTTTGTTGTGTTGAATATTTTGCTTATTTGTTGTTTTTTGTTGTGATTTCTAACGTGCCGCCTCCCCCCCTGTTTCCTCTTTTTCACTTACTCTTACTCTTCCTCCCTTTCCTTCTCTCCCCTTCCTCTTCTCTTTTCCCTCCTCTACCCTCACCCGCCCTCCCCTCCTCCCCAATTTTTCCTTCTCTTTCTCCCTCCCTCTTTCCCTCCTCCTCTACCCTCTCCATCCTTCATTCCTCTAACCTCCCTCCCTCCCTCCCCTTTGAAAACCAAAATACCCCCGCAACCTCTCTCTCTCTGTATATATATATATCTCTGTCTCTCCTTTCTCTCTCTCTTTTCCTCTCCCCCCCCCCCCCCCCCAACCAGTCATCGGCGGCATATCCTACTGGCTGGTCGGCTACCCTCTGGCCTTCGGCGAGGGCAATGCCTTCTGCGGCGCCTCCTACTGGGCATCGTCAGGCCTTCCCGAGGACCGCCTTGCTCACTGGTTCTTCCACTTCGTCTTCTCCGCCACCGCTGCCACCATTGTCTCCGGAGCCGTGGCTGAGAGGTGCGACCTTAGCGCCTACGTTGCGTACTCCGTGGCTCTGACAGGTGATGTGTGTGCATGTTATTTAAAGGCATTTTGTGTCTGGTGTTCACAGTGTGCTTTGGTGAAGGGGGGTTCGTGAGGTGAAGGAAAAGGGGGCGTGTGGGTAAGTTTGGTTGGGGGGTTTGAGATTTATTCAATTTTATGGAGTGTGTGTGTTTCATCTCGGTCAGTCTGTCCTTTTCTCTTTCTCTCTCTCTAAATATATGTATATATATAAATACACATATAGATGAATTTATATATATATGTGTAAATATATATGAATACACACAAACACACACACACACACACACACACACACACACACACACACACACACACACACACACACACACACACACACACACACACACACACACACGTGCGGTTTGTACATATGTACAAACACACAGATAGAGAGACAGAATGAGAGAGACAGCGACAGACACAGACAAACAGTGACAAACAAGCAACCCAAGAGGACCACACACACACAAAAGCGAACCCCAAAATCACACAAACCACGTAACACAGTCATCCGAAGCTTCGAACAAAAGACCGCTTCCTTCCCCGCTCTAATCCGCACAACACCCTTTCATAGGCGATCCCAACCACACAACCGTCCTTTTCTTCCTCTCTTCGCTCTTTTCTTCTTCCTTTTCTCCCTCTTCCTTTCCTCCATTCATCTCTCTGTACCTTCCTGTCACTGGAAACTACAGAGGCGGAATAATAGATGGCGTGTGGAGGCATGATTCGTGCACGGACCGTGAAGCGCCGTGCGGTGTTTCATGGTAGGTGGAGGCGATGTTTGGTATGCATGAGGGAACGGTGGTATGGTCTGCTGTTTGTGTGTTTATTTATTTGTTTTAGATTAATTTAATTGATTCATTTGTTTATTTGTTTTATATTAATTTCATTGATTCATTTGTTTATTTGTTTTAGATTAATTTCATTGATTAATTTGTTTATTTGTTTTGGGTTAATTTCATTGATTCATTTGTTTATTTATTTATTTAATCATTTGTTTGTCTGTTTAGATATTTGTTTCTTTGTTTCCTTATATATCATGAAGGGGAAAGGATGTTACCGAAGTTGATTCTTTTGGCTTTTTTTTAATGGAAGGACGTGTAAAATAATTCTTTATTGTAAAATTAATGGTTTCTATCTATCTATCTACTTATCTATCTCATATTCTATGTATATACGTCTGTGTGTGCTCTGAAAAATGACAATGATTATTCTAAAACGAAGTGAACATATAATATATAAAATTCACGGAGACAGGAAATGTAAAATGAAAAATCAATGATAATAACATACAATCCGAGGTCGTTTTAGGAACTGATAGATTTTTTTTGTAGTCTTTTCATATATAGTTTTTTTTTAATCTTTTTTATTTTATTTTATTTTTTAAACGAACATTTTAGTTCCACTATCCATTTGACTGCATCCAAGTTTATGCTTACGTGTGTAGATTATACATGGGTTTATGTGTGAATATGATATAGGTAGAAAAACCTGAGTTACATATGTGTGTGTGTGTGTGTATGTGTGTGTGTGTGTGTGTGTGTGTGTGTGTGTGTGTGTGTGTGTGTGTGTGTGTGTGTGTGTGTGTGTACATTGATAATCCCATATAGCGAACTGTGCAATCAACTTGTTCATTTGCCATATATATTTTTTTCTACCTTTTTCACACTTTTAAAAAAAAATAATTCACTCATTCATGTCCGCATAGAATTACCACCTTTCTACGCCTTTCTACCTCTTCCCTATCTCACACTTCTCCCTATGCCACATATATACATTTCTCTATCTCTTCAATCTTTTTAAAAATTATTCATTTTCATTTATCCTCGAACGTCTGCCACATTTATGCGTCTTTCTGCTTCTTTGGTCTGTCCTCATTACATGTTTATCCATTATGTTTTTCGTTTTTTACTCTCATTAACTCTTGTCTGTTATTTGTTTTCGTCATTCACTCCCATCCACCCTCGTCCATTATTTTTTTCGTCATTCATTCCCATCCATCCTATTCCATTATTTTTTTCGTCATTCACTCCAATTCACCTTTTTCCATTATTTTTTCATCATTCACTCCCATCCACCCTTGTCCATGATTATTTTTTCGTCATTCACTCCGATTCACCCTTTTTCATTATTTTTTCGTCATTTACTCCTCTCCACCCATGTCCATTATTTTTCGTCATTCACTTCCATTAACTCATGTCCATTATTTTTTTTTTATCATTCACTCTTATTCGCCCTTGTCCATTATTTTTCGTCATTCACCCTTGTCCATTAATTTTCGTTATTCACTCCTATTCACCCTTTTCCATTATTTTTTTTCGTCATTCACTCCCCTCCACCCATGTCCATTATTTTTTTCGTCATTCACTCCCCTCCACCCATGTCCATTATTTTTTTCGTCATTCACTCCCCTCCACCCATGTCCATTATTTTTTCGTCATACACTCCCATCCACCCATGTCCATTATTTTTTCGTCATACACTCCCATCCACCCATGTCCATTATTTTTTTTCGTCATTCACTCCCCTCCACCCATGTCCATTATTTTTTCGTCATACATTCCCACCACCCATGTCCATTATTTTTTTTCGTCATTCACTCCCCTCCACCCATGTCCATTATTTTTTCGTCATACACTCCCATCCACCCATGTCCATTATTTTTTTTCGTCATTCACTCCCCTCCACCCATGTCCATTATTTTTTTCGTCATACATTCCCACCACCCATGTCCATTATTTTTTTCGTCATTCACTCCCCTCCACCCATGTCCATTATTTTTTTTCGTCATACACTCCCATCCACTATTTTTTCGTCATTCACTCCCCTCCACCCTCGTCGTTATGCCCACTTTATCCGTCTTTCCTCAGGCATAGTCTACCCGATCATCAGCCACTGGGCTTGGGCACCGGGCGGCTGGCTCTTGTCCCTCGGGTATCGGGATTTCGCAGGATCCGGCGTCGTTCACGTGACAGGGGGCGTGGCTGCTCTGGTGGGGGCGGTCATGCTGGGTCCGCGCCACGCCCACTTCGGTACCGGGAGACGGGTCATACGAGGTCATTCGCTACCG